ACTCTGTGTAATCCGGCTCGCCGATGCCGGAACTCTCAATGGGGGACTCCCGCTCCAACAGAGGAAGCTTGGCCTGCTCTTCTGGATCCTTCATCAGCTTTGGCAGCTTCAAGTTCCGTCTGGCCCACCCGGACGTGTAATTCATGGCCTTCAGAGCACGAGACAGCCGCCGACACAGGAGCCTCTACATCCGCTCCTGGCCCATGTTATAATAGACGGCCATCTCCCTACTGAAATACTCCTGGCCGGCGGGGGAGTTCATCCCCCAATTTTCAAGCCTGGCGGCCACCACTTCATAGCACCAGGGGAGCCTCTCATCGGCCTTCCACCCTTCGGCCAGGAACTGCTCTACGACCTTATCAGCAGCCTGCACAGCGGCAGCCTCGGCCTCAGCTCTCGCCTTTACGGCTTCCTCGTTCTTGCGCCGCTCGGCCTCCAGCGCCCTTTGGGTCTCCTCGAGCTTGGCCAGGGCATCGTCCCTGGCTGCAGCGGCTTCATCGGCCCTTTGCTGCAAAGCCTTGGCATCCTCCCGGAGCCGATCCAGGCAAGCTACCGCCTCGTCGGCCGAGGCAGCCTTCTGCTCCAGCTCTTTCAAACGAGCTATCTCCCAGTACTGCCTCTTATGGCTCTCCATGAGCATAGAGGCACTCTGCAAAAAAAAAAAAGAGGGCAAATCAAGACTCAGACAACTAACTCTACACGGACGACGAGAAGAATTACACATTACAAGGCAGAGAACTTACTTGGACGAGGAGGTCCATGCCACCCTCGTACACCTTCACGTCCCCGAACTTCTTGAGGTAAGCCCAGTCTTTGGCCGGCATGGCCTGTGCCATCACATCGTGGCCGAGGACGGCATCGTCAAACACACCCCCGCCGACGAGGTATTCCACCACCTTCTGGTAGGTGGCAGCGGCGACCTCCTTGCCAGCCCTCCTCGTCCGTGGCTCCTGGACGATAGGGAGCGATTGGGCGGCATCACTCGGAGCAGCAGTAAGGTCCACGAGGGGACCACTATCGTCCACACTCGGGACAGTCAGGGTACCGGCCTCGGTAGCCGGGGAAGGAGACGGTGCCCTCTTCGTCTTCTTGGCGACGTTCAGGCCGGCTTCAGTCAATTTTTTCTGGCCGTCAGTGGCCGGCCTCTTCTTCTTCGATTGGGCAGGCTTTGGGGCTGCACCAGCAGTAGCCCCGCCTCCCTCGGCCGCGGCACATCTGGCCGTTTCGGCCGCCTTTGCGGCCAACTCCTCGGCCGCCTTGGCCTTTGCTATAGCCATGATGGAGCGACGGTCCATGACAAAATCTACAAAGGAAAAACACAACAGATTAGTAAGGCAAAAGAACAAAGCATAAAGACAGAAAGCCGAAGAAATAATTACCATCGGCCTCAGCAGGAATGCCCAAATCCGGGCCGTCGGCCTCTTCAAAGGTGGTGGTCATCCTCGGCCAGAGTTGGAGGTCATCCTCCTTATCACCATACACATGGTATCTCAAGAAGCCGAGGGCGGTCATCTTGTATTCAGTGATGTAATCCTTCACGCTCCTCGGCCCCCCTTCCAAGAAAGCCTCCACCTGAGCGTCCAAAATAGAGCTCTTCGGCGGGTCATGCAGATTAAACCTCCCGGTATGGCCGAGGGAGGGAAACTCGGTACCACTCTCACCAAGGGATACAAAAACGAACTTGCTCTTCCACCCATGAATGGACGAAGGCAAGTCCGTGAAGTTCCTCTTCTTCGGCAGCTGTTGAAGAGTAGCATAGGCCGCACAGTTCTTGTGGCTTCCTCGGCCGATTTGGTACAGATTCATGAACAGGGCCGTCGTCGGCCTGTAGCCCAGCTCCTCACAACGGAGCAAAAACCCCACCATCAAAGAATAGCTGTTCGGCGTCAGCAAGGCCGGAGGGAGCCCTACCATATCCAGGTATTCAGTGATGAAGGGGTGAAGGGGGAACCTCAGCCCCTTGGCAAAACTCATCGGGTATACTCCAAAGTATCCCGGTGGCGGAAGAAGAACATGGTCCGTCGGCCTGGGCGCCCTAACCCGCCCGTACGGCCCCACGTACATCTGGGCAACAAGGTAGTCGGTCGCGCTGCTCTCCGGCTTGATCAGGAAGATGTTGGTGAGGTCCAAATAGGAGACGCAAGGCCCACTCTTCGGCCTCCTCACTCTTTTCGGCTTATCTGCTCCCTTCACGGTAGACACCGGCCTCGGGCAGGGAATGACAGCGGAAGTGGACGCCCCGTCCACCACTCGGGACGCACCTGCGTCCTCACCTTTTGAAGACGAGGCGGACTCCTCGTCCTCGACTTCGTCGTCCACCGGCTCTCCGGATTTGTAGGGACTCAAGTGTTGTATCTCCTCCTCAAACTACTCGAGCACCTCATAGTCAAGTGACCTCGTGGAGGGCTGGTCGTCGTAGGGGTAGTAGTCTTCGTTCAAGCTCTTCATAACTACTACTACGGGCCTAAGGAGATTAACTTAGGATCTAAGGGTGTTCAAACGCCTAACACTAGATCACTAGCCTAGGAAGCAAAGTATGAAAAGTGAGGAAGATTGCGATAAACACTAACCTTGAACACGAAGAACACGAAGAACAAGCTTGGGAGTTTATCTCTCTAGAAAATTGGCCCGCACTTCGACAATTCAGAATGCAAATACGTTTTCTCGTCGGAGGGGGAGCGGTATTTATAGAACCCCCCACCCAACGGTCACTACACGTGGCACCCTCCCAATGGCCACATCAACGGCCACCAATGGGAGACCACCACATCACCAACGGGCCAAACTACATGTCAACAGCCCACTGGCAAAACAGACTCTACGGCCTATACACTTGCTGGCTTCACGAGTGCCAGCAAGCGCCCACAACGTCCTATTTGCTTGCCAGGTTCACAAACGCCAACAATAAGGAGACGACAACGGCCAGGAACGTAATGAACGCCCGTAACGGCCACAGGACCAAAGGAACCAAGAACCCACAGCCATCGGCTCCTCGTAATGACCCTTGATGATAACTCTCTACAAGCGATCTGCGCACAAGGGTTCTCCCACAGGGTTACCTTGGCCAGAAAATCGCCATGAGGGTTGGATTCAGGGGGACTACGGAGAGGCCGCTTCGGCCAGGGACTCAAGCAACTCCTTCACCCCTCACACTCTTCGGCCTGAAGCAGTGGGGGACTGGGGGACTACATCGGCCTCAACAAAACAGAAAGGAACAATACAAAGAATATGAACGTAACCACAAAGCATGACCACATCGTCCACGCATCACAACGGCTCCTCATCGTTCAGAGGCACATAACATCATCAACAACGGCCAACAAGCCACTGAAGGCAAGGACACTCATCGTCCTCCGCCAACAGTTAATCATGATGGGCTCTTCGGCCAAGAACACGAAGGCCAACCAGCGACGGCCAAAAGGAGTGCGCAAACACCCTCACCGGCCACCCAAAGGAAAGGACGCCATCGTCCTCAAAAGCAAGGTTCAACGTCAGTGGCCTCATCGGCCCAAACATAAACTTCAACCATCAACGTCCAGGAAAGGGAAAGCGTGCCTTCAACGGCCACCATTGAAGCAGGACACTTGTCGTCCCCGAACGAACACATCAAGGAAACAATGGCCTCCCCGCCCACAGCAAGGGGTAGATAACGACCAAGGCACGGAACAGGATCACCAAAATGGAAACAGCACCAACGCCGCAGCAGCTGACGGCCTGGGAACGCCCGCATCGGCCAAAAGCACTAAAGCACGGGAATCTACTCTCCTTCACTTCGTCTACGCCTCAGCTTAGAGAGTGGGGGACTCCTGATGGAGTATATGGGTCTGAGCCCCCGGACCCACATACTCGGAAGAACAGAAAGCACAAGACACAGAGTGGCGCCCTCGTCGGCCAAGACGCCCCCGTCGGCCGAAAAGGGGCCAACTCAGATTATGGTCTTGAGCCCAAGGAACCCGGGTGCCCTCGTCGGCCGCGCCCTCGTCGGCCACGCCCTCGTCGGCCACAAAGACCTCCCAGAACCGGATTTTACACTTACTCATTTGTACAGCCCATTAGTGGCTTTGTATTCGGCCCAGTAGCGGTCCAGTTGTAAATGGGCCTCCCAAGCCCAAGGCTTGGGAGCCCAGCCCGTATTTTCTCTATAAATACTCCCCTTGGGAGTAGTTATAGGGGTTACAAATTCATTCTATTGAAGCATATTATTGCACTTCTCTTTCTAGCTCTCACTTCTCTCTAGATATACTCTATAAAAAATCTTAAACATTTAATTTCATATTAATCAGCTTAAAAAGTTTTAGTTAAATACTACGTAATAAATTAGAATTTGGATTTACCAAAAAAATATAGGAAAAATTGAAAATAATAATCCCAACTATTGCCGGTCCGCTAACAATAATCTCAACTATTGATTATTTTTGTATAATCCCAACTATATGGACTGTCCGCCAATAATGGTCAATGACCGCATATTACCTGCTCCAACGAGTAAGTTTTTAATAGAAATTAAGCGTAAAAATTAAAATTTGGGATTATTTATAGGGATTACGTGCTATATCTTTTTAGAAACTATAGGAATTTATTTAGAGTCGGTCACGTCGGATCATTATTGGCGGAAGATCCCTAAAGTTGGGATTATTCTAAAATAATCGATAGTTGAGATTATTATTAGCGGACCGCAAATTGTTGAGATTATTACCATCAATTTTTCCAAAAATATACTTCCTCCGTCCCTTAAAGGTTTGTCATGTTTGACCGGCACGTAGAATAATAAAGTAAAAACTGTGTGGTAGAAATTTGTGCAGAGGAGAGAGAAATAACAGGAGCCACAAATTGATTGATTAAAAGGGAAAGTGACAAAGTTTTTGGGACAATCAAAAAAGGAAAGTTGGCAAAGTTATAAGGGACGCAAGAGGGAGTAATTTGGTTAAGTAGTTTTTTTAGTTTAACCTTTTGCCCTTGCCATGTAAAAATGTAAATATGTGAGAAAACAGCCTCAGTCCCACCCAGCAAAAAAGTGAGAAATTTGCTTGCCATCTTCTTAGACTTCGCATTAACTCCTTGATAATTCTTCGCATCAACTCTCGCATCGCAGAAAGTATTCGACTCCGATGGTTGGAACCCTTGATTAATCTCATTAGTTGCTGAATTACACTATTAACCGAATCTGACGGCACAAAGTTGAAGTTACGTTGAAGTATACGACTTGGAATTTCTTCTTCAGATCCATCTCCAAGTGGCTTTTCAATTGCATTTCTGCAGAGGTGCAAACTGAAAAATGCTTCGATTAAGGGCCTTCCGGCCGACAAATGATAAAATTGTGAAGATTCATATGCACCCAACACATCCGTGGCTCGTTACAGCAGATGCATCGGATCACGTTTCTGTCTGGAATTGGGAACACCGCCAGGTTTTATATTTTTTGTTGATTATAGCTACATTTTACCCCTTCTTAAGTCTAGTGTTTCAAGGGATTCAATTGGATTTTGCATTAAAATGTATTTTGTTAATTAGGTGATTTATGAGCTGAAGCCTGGGGGTGTAGATGAGAGGCGTTTGGTTGGGGCCAAGCTTGAGAAGCTTGCTGAGGGTGAATCAGGTTGGATTTGGATTTGTTTTCCAATTCTTAGATAGGTGCATCATCAATTTTCCATAACCTTTATAGTTTTATCCAACTGCATATTCTCTTGATTTGGTGTAAATTGTATATAACTATAGCTGGACTGCTGTAGTTAAGTTACAAAAGAGTTACTCCCTCCATCCCGCAAAATAGTTCCGGGTTTCCTTTTTGGGTCGTCCCAAAAAATAGTTCCCGTTTCCCTTTTTGGAAAGGTTTGTGTGGCTCACATTCATTTATCTTTTTCTTATTCAACCACAACCATACATTTCCACTTTATTCCAACTTTCTTAAACTCCGATCCAATTCAATGCGGGAACTATTTTATGGGACGAAGGGAGTATTTCAGTTACATATACAATCGTTCCTAAAAATATGAACTAGCATTCCTGGGTTAGTGGGTATACTGGAATTGAAGTGAAAACACATTTAGGTTTGTTCATGGTATTTTGATGTGTAGAAACACGCTGTAGATGTTCACGGCTGCTATTTTTCCAGTCAACCTGCAATAGTATAGCCTGGTAAAGGTCATTTCTCCATACTTTTCACCTAAAATATGAATTACCTCAATCTTGGATTTGGATGCTTATAATAGCTTATCATTTGCCCGAGGTTTCTTATGTGAGAAATATTAAATACCCCAGGGATGACCAAGAACGAAATTTATTTGAGACTTCCCATGATTCAATATATAACTACAACAAATTATGTATAGAGAGATGGAAACATGTGAACAATATAAAGCATTCGCCCAATGACTTACTTCTGCTATAAGTGTTACAGGCTCACTGTTCTTAGTTATCATTATCCAAGCCGAAGTTACATACGAAGTATATGTGAAATCTATTTATATTTGTAAAATTTGGTCAAAGCAATGAACCACGGTCTCATTAGTTTGAGATAACATTCAAGTTGGAATATCTTGGGTGAAGTGGTAAATGCTTTCAAGTTGGTATCTTGGTGTGTCAGTTTTTCATGATCACTAGACCATACAAAAAAAACATGAATGAAAGTTTGTTTTGCTCTAGAAAATGTAAAAGAAAATGAAATACGAATAATGTTTTGAAAACTTTCAGACATGCTTAAATTTTGACTTTATATGATACAATCATACAAATAAATAAATATATGTCAACAGTAAATATATCGAGTTTAAATCAATGTTTTACCTCCCCCCATTACCTTTCCTTCAGAATTACCATTATAGTTTCTTCTTGACTTTCTTTGTTTGAACATATTGAGTTCCAAATGGATCCTTAGTGTTGCTGCCAAGCTCTTGCACTGCCCATTGTCTTGGATTTTGATATGGTGATAAAAAGTTATGAGTGAGACTGTTAGAGAAAATAGGATCTGTCCAAGCTCACCAGGAAGAAGTAAGAAAAGGAAATTAATTAGAAGTTGGGTGGAAAACTATGGTGTATGCCAATTCGCGCCCTTGGCAGAGCCCAGGAGTTGTTGGAATAATTCTGAGAAAATTATGCATATCTTATCGCTGATGCTAAACTTCTCTAGATATACTACATTAAGAGTCTGTCCTAAGAAAACTCTTGTTAGTAGTATGTTTATGAGTTTACACAATTCGTAATGGTTCCGACTTTTGCAAGGCTAAGTGGCACGGGGTCCGTTGCTCTGCAAGAGCGAGTATTTGCATCCGCATAGCTGTCCAACTGACTTCTTGTTTTTCTTTTCTTACGTCTTCTCAGAGACCTTGAGCTAGGGCCGAGAGCCTATACGTATAATCTTATATTCTTATCATAATCTTTTCGCTGATACACTAGACCTGCTCCACCCTGTAAATATCTATATGAATAAATTTAGATTAAGAAGTTCAATACTAAAAGTAACTTTAATCTTCACATAGGACTTGCATGGGGCTAGACCGGTGGATTATCATTGGTCTCAAGTTATAACAGTAGCTAAAAAAACTTCACAGGCACGCTCCTTTTATTTTTTTTGCGAGATTTTACATTGTATTTATCACTAGTTGTATAATGATGAGATGCAATACTATTTCTTTAAATGAAAAGGTTGTTTAATTAAAAAATGCATCTTATGTTTAACTATTGCACATGGTGACATTAATAGTTCAATTTTGAATAAGAAACTGAAAAGTAAATAACCAAATGCATGAGAAGTGTAATTTCATTTTCTAATAAACGTTCTTGTGATTTGCGAAAAGGTGTGCCTGCTAAATATATGGTTGCTATTTCAATCCCCCCTCCAGAGGGTTCATTGAACTACAAGCTCAATTTATTATTCGTGTAAGATCTTGAGAGTATGAGAATTGTTAAATCCAGGCCGTCTTCTTATAATAGGACAATAGGTAATAGATCTATGTTCTTCTGTATAGATTTTTTTTTGCGAGGATCTTCTGTATAGATTTTGATCATATAATGTTTAAGGGTTCAAATGTGTTCTACTTGCAATCCGTCACATAAGCCCATGTATCGAAATTCAAGTGTCATATAAACCCGACTTCTCATAAAAACATCAATTAGGCCATCTAACCTAAAGATGACTTCAGCAGGTAATCATTTTTTTTGTTATTTTCCTTTTCCCCCTTTTCTTTCTCATCCGAGCAAAACATATGATATTCATTCTCGCCCCAAACAGCTACATGCCTACATGTTGAAGGCATGTCATCATTTTTTTTTTCCTTTTCCCCCTTTTCTTTCTCATCCGAGCAAAACATATGATATTCATTCTCGCCCCAAACAGCTACATGCTTACATGTTGAGAATCACACACCTCATCAATGAACCATGAGGAACTTGCCATTTGAAGCCTTTTTTCAGACCTAGAAGACGAAAGGTCTAACACTACAATCTCTAGTATACATTAATAGAAGTCAGAGGAATTTTAGCCGAGCAGTTGTATACTCGAGTTAAGAGAAGAGAATATGAAATAGATTATATTTGGGAAAGAGATGATATGTCTTCTACTTAAGAAAGAAAGAAAGTGAGTCATGTATGAACATTATCTATGGAAGCAGATCATTTTCATGTTAGATGGCCTATCAATTCCCTTTTTATGAATTGACATGTTTATGTGATAGTGTTAATGTGATATTTATTTGGGTACTTTGGCTTAAATGATGGCTTAAAAACTAGATGGCCTTATTTGACTCTTATTCCTTTTTATTCTTCTTTCCATTATGAATATATATTTGGTCATACATTGCGCTCTACTATAACAAATATATAATACAGGAAGAATTAGAGCTTGCACAGTTGCACCCCATCTGCAGCTAAATTTGAGTTTGCACCCCATTTTTAAAATAGTTTGTATTTGAACCCAGCACCCTAAAAATTGATGATTCAACCCCATTTGTATTCTAAATTGGAGTCTGCATCCCATTTTTAATAGATTTTCCGAACTTTGTGGTGTGACTACAAATTATTTTGAATATAGGGTGCAAACTCAAATTTGGCTGAAAAAATGGGGTGCTAACTAAAAATATCACTAAAATATATTCTGAATATTTTTTCTATTAGGTCTATGTAATACTCCCTCCATCTCTATTTAATTGACATTTTAGAAAGGTGCACAAGTACTAATGAACATTACAAAATGACATTTCTATTTCTAATAAAGTTAAACATTAGATTTTCAAATATTTCTTAGACCATTCGATGGGAAAAAATATTTAGTATTTGAAAAATCAATAATTAACAAAGTTTGAGACCAGACAAAATATGGATAGAATTCCTAACATGACAATGGTTTTGAGACAAAAAATATTGTCTAAAATGATAAATAATTTGTGACGGAGGTAGCTTAGTTTTAAAAAGCGCGCCTGAGGCATGCAAAGGCCATTGTCACTAAAAAATTACTGAAATGAAAATAGAAACACATGTTTTTATTCAGCATGTAGCTTGGAAAAATATGTGTTGCAACACTTACAATTAAGAACATTTCTGCTGTGAATGGATAACCTATACTTGGTGTTTTAAGTTCTATTGACACCGATTCAAAGTTGAAAGCTGGAATCACATGTCTATACTTGGAGTTTTAAGTTCTATTGACACCGATTCAAAGTTGAAAGCTGGAATCAAATGGATTTTCTTTAATTACTGAGTTGACTTGCTTAAGGCACCCTTTCAGTATTACATTTAGTTCATGGTTTAAAAATTGTAAAAGCGGGTTTTACATTCTACCGTGCTGTCATCTATTCTGTTTAATATTCCTCCCTGTTTGTGATCGATGCAAGCAGATTCTAGAGGGAAACCAACAGAAGCGATACGAGGTGGGAGGTACTGAACTGCTTGCACCCTCCTTCTTGTGGTTTGGACTTTGCACCCTCCTTCTTGTTTAATCTGAATCCATCCGTTGCATGGTTGAAGTGTTAGGCAGGTTAGCTTTTATGATGATGATGTGCGCTTTTGGCAACTTTGGTGCAATCGTTCTGCCGCTGCTGAGGCTCCAACAGCTGTCAGTAATGTGACTTCTGGTTTTAGTTCTCCTGCCCCATCAACAAAAGGAAGACATTTTCTTGTCATATGTTGCGAGAACAAAGCCATTTTCTTGGATTTGGTGACAATGCGTGGCCGTGATGTACCCAAGCAGGACCTTGACAACAAACCACTTATGTGGTAAGTTTTATTCTTCAGTAGTTCGGTCTATTGGATTCTTGGTGAGCTTGGCGAGCACCTTTATTTCTGAGAAATTTGGTGTATGAAGAAAGAAAGCTGTCAGTAGCATAGTTGTCATGGCGCATGGCGCAAGCCATGGCGCACAGGCCATTTTCCATGGCGATGGCGATGGCGCAAATATGGCGTCGCCACATGACAAAAAAAAATAAAACCTTCAAAACGAATAATAGATACTGCAATACTATCATAGAAACAAAACTATCATATATATGTATGTATCAATGTATGTATCATGTATGTATGTATTTAGATACATATTTATATATATATATATGTGTAGATATATATTTAAACTTAAAAATTTCAAATATTAATCATAATGTCATTTTTCAATGGTATAAAATAATCCGCAAAACAAAAAATACAAATATGGAAAAAGGATTGAAAAAATCAGCTTGTAAATAAAAATCTTAAGTCCTAGAAGATGTAATGGAGAGATGTAACGGAGAAAGGAAAAAAACGTTTTCTAAGAAGAACAAAACAAGCGTTAAAGAATATGAATGAAGAAGGCCACACTGCGACACTGAAGAAGGCGTCGCCTTGGGGAGTTGGATCTTCGCAGGTCATTATTTTTTTTAAAACTTGAGTCGCTTCTTTCAGTCTACGTCATTTCCGATTTCCGACCATAGCCTCGTTACGGAATTCCGACTCTGTGCGTCGTATTCTTTCCCTACAGACACGAACGACGCAGATCGAAGGAGATCGACGATTCCGTGATCTAACGAGTGAACTCGTCAATCCAGCGATCTGGCTGCAATTTCCGATCCAAGCTGCGATCTTGACAACCTTGTGCGGACCCATTTTGTCAAAAAAACATTCACATCGCCATGGAGAAGGCGCAGGAATGGCGACGCCATGTGTATACACCTCGCCACAGCCCCTTTTCATAGCGCAGAGGGTTTTTCGCGCCACATGGCGCATGGCGCGCGCGCCATATTGCGCCATCGACTACTATGGTCAGTAGTGGTCGTGCTGCTGCATTTACATTTTCCAATTTAATAATACTAGATTAGGTCATGGGGCGACATAAAAAGTGGATAGTGTATAACTCTAGTTGACAATGAAGAACATTATATTCCTAGAAACTTGAAATTGAGGGCATGAGATTGTTATGCCTTTTAGATTATATACTCAGTCTATTGAATTCGACTTGAGCTGTGCTTTACCCGCCATTGCTTATCTTGGTGTGGATCATTTCACATATGCGAGAAATAGGAGCACATGGTGATTGTCTTGAACAGTAATCCAGGAAAAGCAAGACTAATTGAAATGGTTGGAGCTGCAGCTTTTTGTATGCGCATCTTATTTTCTCTCTATTGTGCTATGCATTTGATAGAAATAAAATCTGAATAATTTGACATAGTTTTCTTTCTCGGTTTAAAATGTTGACATTATTGAGTTTTTGTCACTTTTAGTCCTTGGACTATTGTTGTAGTGACAATTTCGGCACTTTTCTTTAATTTCCCACTTTTAATCCTTTGACTATTGTGACAGAGAAATTTTGGTATTATTCCTTTGGCTATTGTGACCGAGACACTTTTGGTACTGATTTTTAATTTTTCCACTCTGACTCTTGTGAAAGTAACACTTTTGGTCCTTTAACAATTGTCATAATGACACTTTTGGCCCCCCATCTATCATGACGAAAGCATAGTTGAAGGGAAAATATTATTACTTTCATAATAGTTGGACTACTTGTTGAGAAATACAATGACGTGTACCAAAAGTGTGTAACAATCTGGACATTGAGTAGGTAGTCAAGTGAGCTATTTTTTCTTTTACACCATGACAGCATGGAGTTCCTCTCAAGATCAAGTGGTGGTGAAGGCCCTCTTGTGGCTTTTGGTGGCTCAGACGGTGTGATAAGAGTTCTCTCCATGATAACATGGAAGGTTTGTCTTTCCCTTCCAGTTTTTGGCTACTTATGGACTTGATTTGTCAAAATTTCTCGTGGTTAGTGGCACTTATCCAAAGAGTATAAAAAATGATATTGTGGTTTCGCTGTTTCCTTGTCTGTTAGATTGCACGAAGATACACTGGAGGCCATAAAGGAGCAATTTCTTGTCTGATGACATTTGTTGCTGCATCTGGAGAGGTACTATTCTAGCTTCTATCGCTAACTATAATTAATAGGTTTGGGTCCGTCAAACAGATATTGGTATTTCAAAACTTACTCATAAATAGGTTTCTTGAACTCTCCCCTCATTTTTTATATTTTGCATCAAAGTGGTAAGTAGTGTTATAGAGCATTAGTGTTGGACTTGCTTCATTTTTTTATATTTCCTTCAATGTACTAATTCTGCCATTATACTTCTATCATGCGTTGATGTCTTGTTGACCTGTATTTCCTTCATATTGCTTGCCTCATACTGTCATTCTGAATTTTGAATCCAAATATTGCCTCCTCAAGTGGTCTCTACTGTAGCTTTTGATTTAATTTTCATTTTGTTACTAGGACTGTTAAGAGTTAAAGACCACACAATAAAAAATGTACAAGAACTTTAGCTACTGACAAAAATCTCATGTTTCCTATATAAGATAGTTGCAGTTTTTTTCAATAGACATTTTCTTTGTGTATTTCAATTTCTTTCTCATTCTGGGTTATGCCATTTGTTATATGTAGGCACTTTTGGTTTCTGGTGGCAGTGATGGTCTGCTGATTCTTTGGAGTGCAGACCATGCTCATGATCATCGGGAACTTGTACCTAAACTGAGTTTAAAGGTATCCGCTTTAAAATTCCTCCTTAAGTACTCTTGAGGACCAGGCAAGCCTCCCTTGTGTGTATACCATGCATCAGATAATATTATATCAGCAGTGCACACAGCTAGGCAGGTTCAAGTCAGGCCACCCTTTGTAGGTATAGATTGTAGTAAAAATATACTCTGTACTACGTAAAAGATAAGCAATGTACATGACCCCACCCACACAAGTATGTATAATATGTAGTAATGGTCACGGGAGTCTGGAGGTCACAATACCCCCGCCCCCCCCCCCCCCCCCCCCCGCCCCCCGCATTGTTTGTTCTTTGCATGTGGAAAGGTTAGTTTTTTTCTTTCATTTTTTACAATGTTTGACATTATCCTGATGGATTTTGACCCCTCTGATTATCTCTAAGGCCCATGATGGTGGTGTTATTGCTGTGGAGCTTTCTAGAGTGATGGGTAGTGCTCCCCAGCTCATTACAATTGGAGCTGATAAAACATTAGCTATATGGGACACAATTGCATTTAAGGTGATGCATCTGTTTACCTCTGGGCAATCCTATGTTATGCTTAGTGTGTGTGTATAGCATTGACTTCCCGCTCTGCAACTTTCTAAACTTATTTTTACAGGAATTACGTAGAATAAAACCAGTTTCGAAGTTGACATGCCATAGTGTGGCATCTTGGTGTCACCCTCGGGCTCCAAACCTTGATATCTTGACATGTGTTAAAGATTCCCATATTTGGTATGCATATCCTCTTCTGAAGCTGCTTGCATATCAAGCTTAGTGTTTCTGATATTTCTTTTTGTTACCATGAAGAAAGAAGTGTTTGGAACATTTGGTAATAGTTGATATCCATAATATATTGAGGAGTTTCCTTTCTGTCAGGGGATCATAACATTTCATTGGACGTTTGCAGGGCTATTGAACACCCCACTTATTCAGCTCTTACAAGGCCTTTATGTGAACTTTCCTCACTAGTCCCTCCACAACTACTTGCTTCACACAAGAAGCTCAGAGTATGTTTCTTATCCTTCACGGAACAACCTTTTACTTCTGCTAATATGGGGCTGAGCTGAAATTTCTCGTTGACCCTATGTAGATCTTAACTTGATCTGATTGGGATTATCCACATGAATCCATTTCATCATCCAATCTTGTGAACCTTTGAAACAAGTTCATCTTGAAAAATTAGGAGGATCTTTTCTAACCAAACTTGCATTCATGAATCATTGTGTTATAAATTGAACATACTGTAATCTTATAAGATTAAACTATTGTTTAGTAAAGTAACATACTTGTAATCTTAGAGATTTCCTGCATTAACTTCCTAATTTTTGGCTCTCTTATAAATTCGAAGGTGTCATATTCACTTTTGAATGACTTGAAGAACTTGGAAAAACTGGCCAAGGGAATTGTTGCAAACTGTTCCCTTTCCCCTCTGAAAATGTGTGGTAATATCTCATTTGGTGCTGTATTATTTGTTGTCATAGGTGTACTCCATGGTTGCACATCCTCTACAGCCGCATCTTGTTGCAACTGGAACCAATATAGGTGTTATTTTGTGTGAATTTGATGCCCGGTCTCTTCCACCTGTTGCTCCATTACCAACACCTCCAGGAAGTCGTGAACATACAGCTATCTATGTGGTTGAGAGGGAATTGAAGCTTCTACAATTCCAATTGTCCAACACTGCCAGTCCAGGCCTTGGAAGCAATGGATCCTTGAGTGACACGGGAAGGTTCAGAGTAGACACTCCTGAACAACTCTTCGTTAAGCAAACTAAAAAGCATATTACTACCCCTGTTCCACATGATTCTTACTCTGTTCTTTCTGTAAGCAGTTCAGGAAAGTGAGTACTCACGCATGGTCTGATCCTTAAACTTTCAAGTTGCTAGTGTATCCCTGATATCACAATTTTCTGTTAGCTCTTTCAAATTTTCTAGGCGTTTACAGCTAATATCTGTTTGTCCAGCTGAGTCATCTTGCCTGACCAAATCATGCAGGTATGTGGCAATTGTATGGCCTGATATACCTTACTTTGCGGTCTATAAGGTAATTGATTGGACAATAGTTGATTCTGGCAGTGCAAGATTATTGGCATGGGACATTTGTAGGGATAGATTTGCTTTGCTAGAATCTGCACTACCTCCTAGGATGCCCATAGCTCCTAAAGGCAGTTCATCAAAAAAAGCAAAGGAAGCAGCAGCGGCACAAGCTGCAGCCGCAGCTGCTTCTGCCGCTTCATCTGCTACTATTCAAGCCCGTATCTTATTGGATGATGGGACCTCTAATGTGCTAATGAGGACGGTAGGAACCCGCAGTGAACCGGTTATTGGCTTGCATGGTGGTGCACTACTCGGTGTTGCCTATCGAACATCTCGGAGGATTAGTCCTGCTGCCGCGACGGCAATTTCAACTATCCAGTCCATGCCATTGTCAGGGTTTGGGAATGGTGCTGCTTCTTCGTTCAACACCTTTGATGATGGATTTTCTTCTCATCGACCTTCAACCGAAGCAGCTGCACAGAACTTTCAATTGTACAGCTGGGAAACTTTTGAGCCAGTGGGTGCTCTTCTCCCACAACCCGATTGGACAGCATGGGATCAAACTGTTGAGTATTGTGCTTTTGGTTATCCTCAATACATTGTCATATCTTCCTTGCGTCCTCAGTTTAGATGCCTGGGAGATGTGGCAATTCCATATGCTACTGGGGGTGTTTGGCAACGGAGGCAGTTATTTGTCGCTACACCCACTACCATCGAGTGTGTATTTGTTGATGCTGGTGTCGCACTTGTCGACATAGAGACAAAACGCAGAAAAGAAGAGATACGACAGAAGGAAGCACAGGCACGAGCCGTTGCGGAGCATGGAGAGTTAGCATTGATAACAGTTGACAGCAAGCAAACTGCTTCTCAAGAGAGGATTGCATTAAGACCCCCAATGCTACAGGTTGTCCGGTTAGCTTCTTTTCAGAATTCGCCCTCTGTTCCCCCATTCTTGAGTTTGCCAAAGCAATCCAAGGCTGGTAGTGATGATTCTGGGATGCCTAAAGAGACAGCAGAAGAGAGGAGAGTTAATGAAGTTGCTGTTGGTGGTGGCGGGGTCGCAGTTGCTGTCACGCGCTTTCCAGCAGAACAAAAGAGACCAGTTGGACCTCTTGTCATCGTGGGTGTCAGGGATGGAGTTTTGTGGCTGGTGGATAGGTATATGTGTGCGCATGCAATATCTCTCAGCCATCCCGGTATCCGTTGCCGCTGTCTTGCAGCTTTTGGGGATGCTGTTAGTGCGGTGAAATGGGCAATTCGACTTGGTAGGGAACATCATGATGACCTGGCACAATTTATGCTTGGGATGGGTTATGCTACCGAAGCGCTGCACTTGCCTGGAATATCTAAAAGGCTGGAGTTTGATTTGGCTATGCAGAGCAATGATTTAAGAAGAGCACTTCAGTGTCTGCTGACAATGAGCAACAGCAGGGATATAGGTCAAGAAGCTCTCGGTTTGGATCTGAAAGATATTATGAGCTTGACTGAAAAGAAGGAGAATGTCGTGGAAGCTGTTCAAGGAATTGTAAAATTTGCAAAGGAGTTTGTGGACCTTATTGATGCTGCGGATGCCACGGGGCAATCTGACATTGCTCGTGAAGCTCTTAAAAGATTAGCAGCCGCAGGTGCGGTTAAGGGGGCTTTACAAGGTCAGGAGTTAAGAGGGGTTGCTTTGAGGCTAGCTAATCATGGGGAATTAACACGGCTCGCTGTATGTAAAACATTTTCTCCTTTTTTACCTTTTCAGACTGTACTCTCTTTTTCTTCTATGTAGTATGTACTACAAATCATAGATGTTGACATTATTTCATACCTTGTATTGTATGGAGGACCCTAGGGTTTCTATTTACATCATCTTATTTAGGAAAAATGATCTTTTGCAGAATTTGGTTAACAACTTGATATCAGTTGGTTCTGGACGAGAAGCAGCATTTGCAGCTGCACTTTTGGGTGACAATGTACTTATGGAGAAAGCATGGCAGGAAACAGGAATGCTTGCGGAGGCTGTTCTTCATGCTCATGTATTTTCTTCTACCTATCAACCAATAATTAATTCTTTAATAGCAGCTGCTTTGACATTGATGTTGGAGCATACAGAGTATATATATGGAAGTAATCCACTTTTGATCCCACAACTATGATGCCATCCCCAACTTTCACTTTTTCACTTTTTGTCCCATGACTAGATTATTTGACCACACATCCGGTCAAATTCTGTACAAATTCCGGTTGATTTGACTGGATAGGATGGAAAGTTATGGATAAAAAATTAGGTCGGCCTAATAACTGGGACCAAAATGGAAGTTCTTCTATATATTCATCGTGCCCCTGATTTAATTTTGAATTTGGATTTTTGGAGTTGTTGGTGCTTATATTACATCTTCAAATCTCAATGTTCTTAGGCTCATGGGCGACCTTCATTGAGGTCCTTGGTTCAGTCCTGGAACAAAACGCTGCAAAAAGAAATGGAGCACATCTCTTCAACAAAAACTGATGCTGCTGCTGCTTTTCTAGCCTCTCTAGAGGAACCCAAGCTGACAAGTCTAGCAGATGCTGCAAAAAAGCCCCCTGTTGAAATTCTCCCTCCTGGGATGGCATCATTGTATGGTCCAATTCCTGGTCAAACAAATCCATCCGTAGGCAAGCAGCAAGGTTTACTTCAGAAACCTGATAAACCGACCTTGCTACTAGAAGGTTCTCAGACGATGACGACGACAACCACAACTCCAACGGTTCCTCCAGCCTTAGAAACAGGCGTTCCACCTAACCCCGAACCAGAGACTGCATCACTGTCATCTTCTGATGCTCTGCCACAAGAATCTGCACCACCACCACAACCCTCAGAAGAATCAAGTGAGGCTGCCCCACAATCAATTTCACCCCCAAGCACAGAATTGAACCCTAAAGAAGATTTGAATAGTCATAATCAGGACATGGCCACGTCACCATTGGATGCTTTTGATCTTTCGTTAACTGCAACTGAGCAGAATGTAACTTCAACGTCTAATGATAGTGTTTCATCCTCAGTTGAGGTGGCGGCCACCCAGAAACCTGGTAACAACAAGGTAAAGGCCATTCTAGATGAGCTACAAATGATCGACTTTTCTTGACATGCCTTTCATCCAAGTTTTTCATATTGGTTTCCGCACAGCAGTTGATGTGCGGCTTTTTGTGCTTGTATATTAGCTATAGCAAAGAGCAATTAGCATTCTTTTTCCCGAGCCTTTCGTGTGCTGCAGTCACCTTTGCATTTGTAATTTGTTATAATCCATATTTGAGGGCTTGATTTTGTTGTTAGTGCATATTATGTGAATTAATAATATCTTTTTGCCTTATTGCATTCAGGGGAAATTGTTGAAAATTGGTAATATCCAAAGAAAATGTCATATATGCTTCTCTGTACTCTGGAAATACGGATTAATATGTTGATCTACCATTTCAGCTTGTTCGTTTTGCACTTTTGCTTAGTTTTTAAAATCCTTCCAACTGCGCATATAGTCATATTTCACTCAGGTTGGTTTCTAGAAGTTAACCCACGTACCCACGTGATGGTCTTTAACAATGGAAAATGGTCAATAAGTGTCACATAAATCTATCAATAAGGCCAATAGGCCCAATATGACCTGAGATTAGGGATGGACTAAACCGGGCCGGCCCGCTACTGTGGGCCCGGACCGGGATCGGTTGGTCGGTTCCGGGCTTTTAGCCCGTTTGGGCGGGTCGGATGGGCCGGGATCGGGCCCAACTTTTGTTGAACTCGCTCGGGCGGTTTGGGCCGGGCCCGGTTCAATTTTTTTTTTTGTTATTTCAATTTTTTTCTTTTCCTAAGGTAGGGCTGGGTGTTTTGGGGAGGTTTGGGGGGTAGGGGTGGGGGGGGGGGGTCGGGGGATAACAAGAAAGGCAAAAAAAAATATTAAACATGGAACCGGGCCCGGGCCCGACCCGGTTAGGCCTGGACCCGGTATCAACCCGGGCCTGTTCCGGGCCCAAGTAATTGCCAAAAAAGCCCTCCCGGGCCCGGCCCGGAACCGGAACCGGACCGGCCTCGGTCCATCACTACCTGAGATGAGGTTTTTTTTTCCTCCCTTTTCTTAGCTTCTACTTCTTTAGTACCTCCAAAATTTTATTCTTCGTGAATAAATTTCTTGAATCTTATCCTTCCATTCGAGAGTGCATCTCAGATATTCGAGAACATGAATTCAAGAACTGCACACTGTCAAAGATAAAGAAACACATTCCTGTGATAGACGTGGAGGGGTGGAGCTGGGTTGGGATTTGTATAAGAGGGTTTCAAATACAAATAATAATCATTACGAAGTGGTAAATAATGAAGTGAAACTCTTCCCCTTTTCTTTGGTAATCCAATTGTGTTCTTTCTGTATCATTTGTTCTGAAGAGAGCTTATCTAGTACAAAGTACAAACGGGATGTTTTCCCTCTTTGAGATGAACATAGATGAGATAATATAAAAATATATAGAGCACGCTAAGGTGTTCACCAAGGAGTATACTAGCATTGAATGATTGAAATTCTCTAAATATTTTAGATGAATGGGTCTCCGTCATTCATCGATGCTAGTGTGCTTTTTAGTGAGCATGCTAGCGTGCTCCATAAATTTACTCGAACATAGAAATATAGTATTCATATTTAGGGATAATGCCTTATTTTTACTTCAATTTAGGATGATTTCTTTTTCTAAATTAGTTTTTCAATATTCATCTTAATATTTAAATCACATATATCGATGGTCATCAACTTTTTTATAGTAAAATCATATGCATATGACATATCTCAAAATTTAACACTTTTATCCTACTATTTTTTTTTTGCTATAAAAAATGACCATCAAAGTTAGGGCCGAGGCTACAAATAGGGATGGACTGGAACGGGTCGGCCTGACTCGAGATCCGACTCGACCCGGTACTGTGCTGGTTTGGCCCGATTAGCCGGTAACGGGGGACCAAACCGGGAGACAGAGGGGCGGGCTACGTGCTGAGGTAACTGGGTACCGGCTGGGCCGGGCCGAGCCGGAACCGGTCCGGGCCTCTAACGGCTACATTTAAAAAATAAAGTAAATGGATTGGACTGCTTTGCAGCTCTTAGCTGTTGCCAAACAACTCTATAGCCATTGGAGGGGGTTTGGGGGTACAAAAACAAATTATAAATACGCCTATTTTCTAAACATTTTTCAACACCTATTCTCCAATTATTCCTACTCGCTAATCATCTTTTTCTAACCGAAAAATTGCAAATCACCCCTTTTATAGGAGGCTATGTCCGTCTGTCGCCATTTGGGGCGGTTACCGGTGCAATTTTTTGATGATTTTTTTTGAACATCTTTTTCATTAAGTCTAGTTTACCCATACCGAATGTCAGCTAAAAATGAAATCGGGAAGGCAGTCAAATAAATGTTTGAAGATAACTGCGCAGTTAAACAGCGCAGTATATTTCAGAAAATCATTTGACTGCCTTTCTGCTTGATTTTTTAGCTGAAATTTGGTATGGATAAACTAGACTTAATGAAGAAGATGCTCAAAAACATTCATAAAAAAATTCCACCGGGAACCTCCCCAAATGGTGACGGGTGGACAGAGTCTCCTAAATTTGTCCTATTATTCTCATTTGTTACATAGTAATATTAGTTGCATACTAATTAAACTATTAGTTACATACTAATTAAATGATTAATTTAACTAGTTGCAATTTTAGTTAATTTTACTACACTTGTTAGATTAAACCATTTATTAAACTAGTTGGAATTTTAGTTGATTTTACTACACTTGTTAGATTAAACTATTACTTTTACTATATTTTTTAGATTAAACTATTAAACTACTTGGAAATTTAGTTAATTTTACTACACTTGATAGATTAAACTATTAATTAAACTAGTTGGAATTTTAGTTAATGTTACTACACTTGTTAGATTAAACTATTAAACTAGTTGTATTGCGATTATAATTTCTAAATTGAGAATTTAAAGAACCTTGAACATAATTTTTTTTTACTCCGGGGGGGGGGGGGGGGGGGGGGGGGGGTCTGAGGAGCCGGGAGTAATCAGGGCTGAAACTCACTCCATTGACTTTCAAACCCTTATGTGCCTAACGGGTTTCGAACTCGAGACCTCCCACTAAGCACGGTAACCTCACAACCTTGAGCATAAGCTTTTAAAGCAAGACTTTCATAAAAAATAAACGGCAAACTTAATGCTTTTCAAAATTGTTTAGAGTACTATTATGCTACTGTTTTTGGTCCATTACCTATGTACGAAGATAAGCTCATAGATCCTAAAGAGCAATACAACGAGATTAGTAACTTATTTCATCAATTATATAATGAGTTTCATGCACAATATGGTAACACACCCCCTCCTCCGACACGAACATCTTATTCATCTAAAGGAAAATCATTTTTGAAATCAACATTTGGTAATCTAATGGAAAAAATAAATCAACTCCCGCTGTTGCACAAAGCTCGACTAACGAGCTTTCTTTATATCTATCGTTTCCTGTTGACTACGAAGACGGGAATGACTTTGACGCTCTACAGTGGTGGAAGGACAAAGAAAGAACGTTCCCGATTTTATCAAAGATGGCTAAGCAAGTGCTACCAATGAGGATATTAACAGTTGCCGTGGAACAAGAATTTAGTGTGGTCGGTAACATCCAATCTTAAAATTCCAATTATATCTTGTTCCAATTAAAGAAGACGGTGAATTCTATTTACAGCCAAGTAATTACTAGTTACAGCCGTATAATCTTAAAATTCCAATTATACCTTTCGTAATCTCCACGGCTTACCCGTTGGGTGTGTGTATACATCTGTATGGCAGGAGAGACCACTGAATCAGCGAAAAAAAATCATTTAGATTTAAAACTACAAAATGGTGACAGTCCGGTGATTGAGATCAACCGTCAATGGCTCCGAATTAGTGATCCCATCACCGTCGCGTTTGATGCCCACCGGGCTCTATGGAAGTCCCGTCGGAACCGCAGGGGGGTAGATCTGCTAAAGTCCCATCTAGACCAACTTGTTGAAGTCCTCACCGTGACCCACGTGTTGCAGCCTTCGCTGTTCCAGACTCGCTTATTTCAGCCCTCGTCGTAACAGTAGAAGCACCGTCGTTGACGCTGTCACAGACCCCCTCTGGAGGCAGGTTGCTTCGGGTCTCATCTAGATGTGTTGCTGGTCACAGGAAGCACCCTGGTCACTCCCAGATAGAGTTGCAGTGAAAGAACTGAAGTGGATATCAATTCCCTTCTCCGGCCGATCTGTTGAAGGTTGCTTCACCGGCTATGAAGCCCGTCTCCTAAAGGAACGGAAGATGTGTTTGATGTATTTTTGAGACCAAAACATGTTATTAAAAAGTTAATGGAAAAAAGGATAATTAGTGTATATAGGAAAATGTGGGCCGAGTCACTGTCCGGCATTTATTGCTACTATAAATAGCACCCCCTTTTCCCCGTTGTAAACCACGACATTCATACTGAATACACTCTCTCTCTTACATACTTGTGCTCTGACTTCTCTCTAAGTTATTCTCTGCAATAACCCCTCGGATATATACCCCCCGGGTAGACTATCCATCATTTGGTGCTCTCGTTGAGAGGTCGAACAATCGAGTAAGAAACCCTCCCCCTTCGCCAAAAACTAGCCCTCTACCAAAATGGTGAGAACAACACGTGCCAACTCCAAAAACGTGGAAGACAAGAACCTGGCCCTCGGCGACGTCAACGCCCCCGAAGCCTCTCACAGGGCTCCCGAGGGCGGTGTCATCGCTGGGCTGGAACAGGCGGCTGTCGACTTACGCCTTCAGATCCAGCAGAATGCCCCCGATGCCCGCCTCGGCATCGAGGCCAAGAAGAAAAACCGGAGCGATGACCAAGTCAGCCCTCCGGTTCTCACCATCGACATTCATTCGGCGCTCTCCGCCTTCATCCAGACGCTCACTCAGAACCCGGGTGCCTTCGGCACCCTAGCTCCGGCTCAGCCCCAGGTTGGGGAGAACATCATACTTCCCCCTCTGCCACACCCCTTCGGAAACCCCACCCCTCGGGTTAGGAACGACGAAGGGGTAGTGGCCCAAGATACGTCCTCCCAGGAAGTTCACTCCCGGGACCGCCATAATGACAATAGAGAAAGGCCCCGCACTTCCGCCCTCAACCGGCTCGGAGGAGGGCCAGACCGCCGAGGGGTCCAAGACCGCCTCGGAGGGAAAGCACTCCAAAGGCCCCAGGAAAGCGGAGGGTCTGTCTCGAGGGCAGACGAGGAGCGTCCCCCTCGGGACAAAGGCAAGGCACCCCTTCATGCCGATGATGCTCGCCACCAAATCAACCAGGCCCACTCG